AGCATATATGTGCTTTTTAACAACATGTACTGCATGTGTAGATAAGCAGCTGTAAAGCAAGCATCATCATAGCTTTACTTGCCTGTCGCTTTTGTACCTTCATTGTGAACTTCCATTTTTGTTAAATGCTCAAAGGAGATCAGTCTGTTGTTTAAGAAGTGGCAGTGGCTCATTACAGTTTGGTTTGTCTTCATAGCTTTCTGCCATCGTTGCTGTTTAGAGTCCATTACTGACCTTACTTTACCTCCTAATACACTGCCCCCACCATTCATATGATTAATTTCTTGTGGTCATGTAGTATTAACTTCAAAAGATGCACACAATCAACACTAGTGGGTAGCCATCCTCAATGGCAAAAGAGAACTCTGACTCAAAATAATTGACGAATTAATAAAATTTGTTAGAGCCATACTGTATGCTTGTGACAGTGTCAGTGATCCATGTCTGACATGCAACATGCTCCTCCTGATGTCCTCCTAATGCAGTGTCACGATTTGTCATTATCTCAGTCATGATGATCTGTCTGTTTCTATGTCCATCCATCTGTCTGCCTCACTTCATGACTTCAACTTGAGCTGACACACTCTGATGCATATCTCCTCCTCACTGTCTCTCCCAGCTTTCCGCTCACTGTCTTGGGTTTACTTTCCATATGAAAGCCAAATGTCATATTGTAGAAGTTTGGCTAATTTCATACAGCCCTAATCTTTCTGACTTACCTGTTGCTGTGCTAATATTGGGAACATCTGCAGTATACTCATTTAAATTTTGAAGCCAGGCCTCTAAGTATTCACTTACGTCCCTGGCTGTCTGATCGGCGTTCTAATAAACTTACACCGCTGGCACTAGATATCAGATCTATTCATGAATAAAAGTGTTGGCACTGGAAAATTACATCGAACTTACAGTACAAATCCAAGAATCACAGATAACATGGCATAAATCAAAGTGAGTTTGATTCGCTGCCCCTTTCATACACTGAAAGATGTCAGCTCTCTGTAATGAAGAAAAATGGAGTCTGTCGCAATCACTTTTGTCCTGTGACCTCAAAGTAATGGACCAAGTGTATAAAGTAATGTATTTAACTGGCACTCGCCACTGACCAATACATACAACCCTGCACTACGAATTCTTATTGACCATAAATAACACTGTCCTGACAGGGACACACTTCCTCAAGTCTTGACATGATAAATCTAGAGGATGAAAGTGAACGAAAAGGAAGCAAGCAGATGAAGAAGAGCGAGATGGACAGATTCTATCATGGTTTAAAAAACATACTGAACTCAAGTTTACAACTTAGAGACAGACTGTCAAAGTTCCTTTATTTACAGTAATGCAGAGAAAGACAGGTAGGAGGGTACTGGGCAGGGATAAAGTCAGCAGACAGGCAGAGGTGAGCAACAGGCAGGCAGAAACCAGCCAGCCTAAATAAATAGGCTGGAAACAGGAAACAAGGCTGGAAAGTACATCCTGACAGATGACAAAAGGAAGCAGGCCTATATTAAAGTGCTAATGAGGGAATGGCGCACAGGAGGGTGGGGCAACCGGGTGCAAGGAAAAGGTGTGAAGAACTGGGGTTACTACAGGGCAGGTGGTAGAAGCAGGATCTGAAATGAGAGGAGAACTATTGGAACGGCAGGGCAAGCAGAGAATGACTAAATGGCCAAGAATGGATGAACTCTGGCAAGATTCACAAGGCACTTCAAAAAACAACAAGAAAAAGACTTGATGATAGGCTGTGGGGGAGGGAGGGAGACCAAGAGCTGCATCAGAAAGTAATGGAGAAGGAAGACTGGGTGTTTTTCATTTCTATCACAGTATTCTTGAAGCACAAAGCACACCATCATTATCCTTATCAAACACTAGCAAGTTATTCTGGACCATTGTGCAAGATACATAAAAAGAAGTGAGACTAGCAGGAAAAAACCTGTCACTATGGTACATGCTCATCTCAATCTTTGTTATCTGTATCAACCATGTACAGTATTTTTATCATCTGTGACCCAGATCTTTAGCATCTCTTTTTTTTGCTGCACCGCCATGACATTAGATTTCAACTTTAAACCTATTTGGTTTGCTCTGATGTGAATAGTACATAATTAATTTGGATCCCAATTTTGATTTAATTTTAGTTTTATGACAAAAAAATATGTTGTACTCACATTTTAGTTTGGTTTTAGTTTATTTTTGTTAAAATTATGTCATAATTCTTTTTTATTTTTGTGTCTGCTATGAAATCCAAGGCTTGCCACCATCTTAAATTTGTACTGTTGCCATGATTGGGATGTGTTCCATGTGTGCCATTTGTTATGCTAACTAAAATGAAGAAAGACTAACCTTTCTGTAATATGAACACTGTGCAGCAGAAAATAAATCTAGCTTTGTCACATTTTTGACGGAGCTTCAAACTAGATGACAACAATCACAAACATACTGTAGCCAGAGTTGTTTTACATGTGGCCCAGTGTAATAATAGCCCTAAGGTCAGTAAACAAACCTTGGAACAGTAGGTGATGGATCTGTATATCATACAACAGCTGGTGAATCGGGGGGGGGTCATAGGCATTTGTGGCTCCCCTCTCTCTCTCAGTAACTGGGTCAAGGTTGATGTGCCCTTGAGGGAGGTGCATGCAGACTGTTCTGGTCATAAACACAAGCTGTTCAGCATCTGGTTCGAGCACGCTTCTCTCTGATTGGTCAGCAGGTAATTGATAAAGGTGTCACCAATTAAGTGGCTCTTTCATCATTTCTAGAAACCAGAACCAAGGCCTTTTATAAAAGGGTCTTTTGGATATTATATTTTATGATGGAACATAAATGCTAAATGTGGTGACATCATTAATTTTATTGTGCATATTATTATGCTGCTTTTATTCCAGGTGTTCCTGGAATTACTCTCTCGTCTTCCAAAAGGGCAGAGCAGGCTGATATTTCAGTGTGATAGTGATTTTATACAACTGTTGACTGACTGCAACTTCTGGCCATAGTTAGGATGGCAACAAAACCTAACAAGGCTTACAGTCTGTATGTCAGTGGAGAGAGATGAGATGGAGAGGGGATGGGTGTATTGGAGAACAAGTGAGTACCAGAGGAGACAGGAGATCTAGCTGGTGAATATGTGCAGATACCCAGAGTCTGAACTCAAGGTAATTAAGATAGAAAAAGTGAGAATAATATGAGGATTAGGATAGATGATATGTGGTGCTATAACTGTAATTTTCTGTGATTTATTAAATGGATAGAAGACACGTTATATAACTGTCCAACAGAACAAGTAATTTACAGCAAATTTTAGAGAGAAAACCACAGTTATACCACAGAGCGTAATCAGCCGTAATCAGCGCTCCCATCAACTGATTTATTCTGTTTATACAAGCGCTGATTGGCCCTAATTAATTGTCCAAGTTGATAATCTGTGTTTAAAATCAACAAACTCTAATGCAGAAAAGCAGACTCACATTTTCAAAGCGAGGGTGAAAAGAACTGAACCTCAACTCATGTCTTACATCTATAATATATGAGTGTCTAATAGCAATGCAAAGAACTGACATGCTTTCATTAGCCATACATCATCATGAATCAGTCTGTTAGAATTACACCCCTCATTTACACTATAGCAAGAAAGCCAAGTAAAAATCCAAACAGGAAGCATTAAAGAATAATTTCGATCCCATTGCACAAATCACCTCAGGTCGTGCTTTCACATTCTAGCTAGATGAAAGGTGCAAAATGAGTATCATCTTTCCAGGATGCATACCTTATCTTTACCCCTCTTAAGTGATAACTGCATCAGTGAGAGGCCTGTAGAAGTAGCCGCTGACAGGGTTTTGCCCCCCGTCAATTATGGCAGCTGAAGTTCCATTATATGAAATTAGGTGACCTTTCCGGTCAGAAGACGGAAAAAGAGAGAAATTCCAGAGAGATTTCAGCACTTGCGGTTATTTCAGGTACATCTTACCACCACAGTCTTTTACCATAAAGAAAGGTGTGCCTTTTTTTTGTGTGTGTGAGTCACAAACACTTCCACTTGTGATTGTGGAGTAAAGCTACAAAGTGACACTTCATTTACTTCATAAATGATCTTTGCTGAGTACTGACAATGGCTTGCAGAGAGCATATCAACAACAGAACAGGCTGTGAGAGCAGTGTGAGTGAAAGCACATGAAGACAAAACCTTTGTCTCACACTTCTTTCATAGGAGTCATTCATGGGTTTGTGTTAGTTTATGTGGAAAGCAATTTTGACAGTTACTAAATAGCTTCAAGTACATTACCACGCTCCTCTGGACTGGGTTGATATAGAAATTTCTAAATGTAAATGAAAGACTATTAAATGTTAAGGTTTGTGTTATTCTATATTTTCTTTAGTGACTCTCATGAAAAAACAGCAAAAAATGTACCAGTCTTAATATTTTCCAAATTCTTTATCAGAGGCCCTCAACCCCAAACCTGTTGGTTTATACTTAAGATGTAAGTCTTAAACATTGCGTCACAAAGAGCAGACGCACTCTAGAATAATTTAAAAAAAAGTAAATTGTGCATTTTTGGGGGGACTATTTTCAGCTGTGGAGCAATAAACATTAGGCAGCTAGTGAGTATTAAGCAGCAGAATGATTTATGTCTGAATGACTCAAAATAAACTGCAGTTCCCAGATTCATGGTAATGAGGGAACATGTCACTCAGTGCAACACTGTGGCTCCCTGGAGTGTTTTCAGTAGTTTTTGGGCAGAGGAGTTAGATTTATCAGGCTTTGCTTATACAGGCAGCACTTGTTAGTAGGATCTGTTTATTGCTGGTTTAGGTCTTTTCATGGGGTCTGTTGACTATAAGAACAATATAGAATATTGCTTGCCATGGTGGCCGGTGCTAATCATAGAAATCTTGCATGCAGTAATGCTGTAATACAATCAGTGAAGTGACGGTGGCTGTTCATTTTGACATGCACTGCAGATGACTTTATAAGAATGCAGAAATAGTCCCAGGAAATGTTTTCTTACTCTGGACAGATCTCCAACCTCCAGGTAAAAACAGATGATGAAAACATTCCAGGTCATCCACGCTACGAGCCAGGCTGCATACTGCAGAGAGACAGAGGGAGAGAGGAACGTGAGGGGCAGACAAGATTTGACAGGCTTTTGGTGGAGAATTAAAAAGGCGTGTTCATGTCTTGCATTTGGAGCGAGTGCAATGGAGAGAAAAGACAGAGGGAGGCGTCAGTTTTGATGTTGTTAAGATGCAGAGAAACAAAAACAGCGGCAGGGAGTGCAACCAATCATCTGAATCAAACCAGACGGAGAGAAAAATGGTTGGTGGGACAGCAAGTGTGTATGTGTGTAAAGAACAGTAATAGGCAGGAAAGAATGAATGAATGGTGGAAGGAAGGCAGAATTTATAAGCTTTGATCAAACTTTCATCCGCTTTCATTATCTGCATTTTTTCACTAAATATTCTGCATGTGAGTGTGAGTGTGTGTGTGTTTGTGTGCATGTGAACGTCTCGGGGTGGTGTATGATGTGTGGGAGGGATGCATGGAGGCCTACAGCCACTGTGGGAACTTCTGAAAGTTTTCTGAAATATGATTTTATCTACAGCTGCCAGAAACAGAAGACAGAAACAAATAATTCCACTCGGTATGTTGTTCCTACTCCCACTCCATGTCACTGTTCTAACCTTTCATTTACTATACTCAGAATTTTTTGACACTGACTTCCTGACTATTGGATCCACCAGTTGGCAATTCTTTCAATAAATACTGAAAACTGGGTCATGATTCTTGCTGTACATAACACGTACGATTAGCTTTAGTTAACACAGGAGTGAGGACAAACTGTTGCACACTGAATGTTACAGAATGTTACAGTCTGTGCAGCTATTTAGTCATGTGCTGACATGACATACAATTTTCATGGATAGCAAACTAAAATCCAGTGAAACAGAAAAGAGGCTGTTGTTAAATCTAGAGCAAAAGATATTTAAAATATGTATCCAAAGAGTAAATGTGCGTGTAAGTGTGTAAAACCCACCCCAGTGATGTATCTCGGCCTGAACTGAATCGTGCCAAACAGGCCCAGGATGACGATGATGATGTGGAGGAAGTTGGTCAAGATGGGAGCCCACTGGTAGCCCAGGAAATCGATCACCTGACGTTCCAACACACTGACCTGAGAGGAAGAGGACGAAGAGGAGGAGGAGGTAAAGAAACAGCAAATCAGCAACAGCAGGTTGTGATCTTAACAAAACATTTGACAAAAAAAACCATGGACACGCACAGAAAGGTGCACAGGTGAATCAATAAGTCAATCGAAAGTTTATCTACAGTATTGTGATAAACAACAGATCATTACAGTCGGTTTCTGAATCTGCCAAACGTTTGATGGTTTCACATGCTCAGATGTGCGGATTTGCAGCTGGTCTTTCTCACAGAGGACAGTTAATGGAGTATTTTTAAGTTTTTGATTTTTAACTGGAAAATAACAGCAGTCTAAAAACACCATCTAAAGCTCTGGGAAGCTGAGACTGACATTTTTATGTCAATGAATTGCAATTATTTAGCATTATTTCCCCGTTTAAACTGATTGACTAATTAATCTTCATTGTCACATGGCCACCTAAAAAATCGTTTCTCCCTTTGTTTTATTATGAAGAATCAGCCATTACACATTACTGGAACTGTATACAGACAACACAGCTTTGTTCTATATTAGGTCTTATATTTCATTAGATCACTTTGCATTTACTATATTCATCGGCAACAATGACACTAACGAAAAATTCAAGTATTAAATTTTTTTCAACTCAGCTAATCGGTTATGTGAAGTGACTAATTATCTTCAGGCTATTTAGAAACTTTCAAAACTTAGGGTTAATTAGAATTCAAGCGATACACATGTCCGTTCCTCAGTGATGGACTTACTAATGAATTCGTGAGGTTAAAGAGGATGTATTCACAATTAGCGATTTAATCATAACTTAAAGTAAACTGTAATCAGTTATGTATGAATTAGTGCTGGGCTCCCAGGGCTGTGTGTGTGAGTTTATTATCATTCAGTCACTGGAGCCTCATGCTGAGATAGTTAATGAACTCAGCACAGCGTATGATACGGCACTGCTAAATATATTAACACACTCACTGAAGGAGAGAGAGAGAGAGGGAGAGAGGCAGGGACAAAGAGGAGAGACAAAGAAAAGGGTACATTAAGAAAGACTGCCAAGGATGCAGCTATTAGCTTCATTTAGCCCCAAAGGAGACAGATATTTACTCTTTTAAACTATCGACTACAAGTGTTTAAACACCTTCAGCTTACATATCAAATCAAGGGCTTTATTTTCTGTTATTCACACTTTCTTCACACACAAATGCACACACACTTCTGGATGGCTGAGTTTCGAGTGCCCTAATGTGAGACCATATGGCACCACTACGGGCTTTCACAGCCAAATAGCAGGTACACACACACACACACACACACTGCATAACGCATGCATAAAATGTAACCTTGTATAAACTACACTTTCTGACTTCAGTTATATGATATGAGAACATTTATCGGATGTGAAATTTACAAGACGAGGAAGCTGTGTGAATGAGTATGTGTGTGTGGGGTGCTGACATGTGCATCCACTCGTGTGTGTGTGTGTGTGTTTCCATGTCAGGGTAGGTCTACTGTGCTTGCACTTGACAGCACCTGCTGTTATTGGGCACACTGGGCTCAGCTGGCACCACAATGTGTGTGTTTGTGTGTGAGCGAGTCAAGGTTTGTGTGAGACAGAGAGACATTGTGTGTCTTTGTGTGAGTGCCTTTATGTGTGGGACAGGCTTCGTCTCTCTGTCTGTGTGTTTCTTTGTGTATTGGCTTCATTTTATTATGTAAAAGCGTGTTCTCGATTGACAATTATAGAGTGCTGCAACTGTGCCTCTCTCACAAACACACACATACGCACATTCAAAGGCCATTATAAGAAGTCAGGGGCCTCCTAGGCCATTACTGAGGCCCCTGGGGGGCCCTCTTTCATCACCAATGATATAAACAGTCTTCACTCCAGCTGGGACACTCACATTCACCCCAAAAACATACAATAAATCACGCAAACAGAAGGAGAAGAGATAAAATTTGATCGGAGGGATAAAGAATTTGTTTGTACACTATGGGCAGCAGCCATATTGATTTCTCTTGGCTAGTACTGCCCGCATCCTTAATCATCAGTCCGCAAAAACAATTTTTTTGTTGATGGAGATTATTGTTCTAACCCGAGTTTATGTGGATGCAAATAAAGAGTAATATTCAAAACCAGACCATCTGTTCCTTTGCGCCAGCCTCAGCTTTTGATGTGAATTTCTCATTACATGGCTCAGCTGCAAAACAACTAACTTCAGCTGCATCAGTACATTGCGCTCCGTAATTATGTCACTCAGTTCTCCTGGAAGACAAAAGACAAAGCATACATGCAGCCCCACATGCCCGTAATCCCTGCATCCTTTGCACGTGACTCCAGTGCCGGTGTGAATCTTAGCCTAAGGTGTGAACTCACTCAGCCTTTCAACACCTATGGCTTCTGGGGGAGAGAGATGGTGAGACGTGCACATAGCATAGTCACTAGCAGCCATGTTAGCAGATATGGCAGTTGTGTGAGAAGTGCAGCTGGTGAAAGGTTCAGCACTGTACAGGTGGAGCTTCAAGCAGGGCTAGTCGGGTCCTTTGGGATCCACCGTGACAGGCTTTGATGCTGCTGGCAGAGATGTTCATTTCAGTTCTACTGCTTAAAGCAAAAGGGTTCACATTCAGCTTGTTAATCTTGGTATATATACTGTGGGCACAGCACAGAAGTCTTAATGTGTGTCAGTTTATTTGTCCATTATAAAGCTAATAAGGCAGTACAGTGGCCATTTATAACTATTTAGTGAGCTAAATATGACTGACATGTTTGCATTTATGAATAATGGTGGAAATAGTACTCAGATCTCTTACTTAAGAAAAAGTTACAATACCACAGTGTTAAAATACTCAGTTAGAATCAGAACCAGAATCAGAATCTGCTTTATTGGCCAGGTGTGTCGGACACACGAGGAATCTGACTCTGGTAAAAGTAAAAGTCCTGCATTCAAAATGTTACTTAAGTAAAAGTACAAAAGTACTAGCATCAAAACATACTTAAGGTACTAACAGTAAAAGTACTCATTATGCAGAATGGCACATTTAACTTTAATGCACTTGGTTTATAATTAATTATGCATTTATTGTGTTCATCACTTTAATGGTAAAGGGGGAGCTAGCTTTAACGCTTATAAGTTGAATTACTGTTTGGGCAACAAGTAAATCTTCCACTATGGATAAAGTCTTATGATTATATTGTATTTTTTAAATTAATCTGGTTCTGAAAAATAACTAGCAGCTAATATATTTTGTCTAGAGACATTTTCAGATTGTAGAGATTTTAATGGTTGAAAGTTGGGTAAAAGTTTCAAGTCTGTTTCGCCTCTGACCACACCCTGTATTATGCAGGGGTATTGTTAAATGGTCTACAAAATCTGCTGTGTTGCAGTTATAACCACACTCAACAGGGATGTCCCCATATGCTGACACACCCCAAATTACACTTCTGCATCATTACATCAAAGCAAGAGGGTAAAGCCAAACGCAAGATTTCCAGCATGTGTTAAATTACTCTTTAAATATGAATAAAGAGTCAAAAAGCTGCCATTTACACTATGAGCAACTACAATATATTCTCCCTTTGCATGCCCAGGAAGGCAGACACGCCACAGACATGCAGCTGATGAAAGACACTCGCACGCAAATGCTTAGGAAACAGACTGGCAGCAGAAAGATAAGAGTGATGAAAGGGACAGAGAGGCAGAGGAGAAAACAGGGACAGAGAGAAAGTCTTTGGTGAGTTTGGAAAAGATTTTGGTCTATTTCATAATGAATGATAGAGTGATTTGAAAAAATGATTATTGCTCCAGACAGGGAGACAGCTGCACTGTATGACCATTATGAGACACTGCGGAGTGATAAAAGTGTCTTTTATCTTAAACAGAAAAAGAGAACAGAGAGAATAAGATGGCAAATGATGGAGAGAGACAGGCCCAGAGATCTGATGAGAGGCCCTGAAGAGATTGAGAGGTGATTAAGAGCTGACTGTTACTGAGGAAAAAAGAAGATGAGAGAGAAACGGTGGGTGAGAGAAATGAAAATGTCTCATCTTCTGTCCCTCTGTCACTCCATTCCTCCCTCCTCACCTTCTTTCCTCTCCCACTCACTCTTTCTATTAATGCTCTCTCATCTTCTCATTTCCTCTCTAGCTCTCCGTTCTTTCCTTTTCTCATCATCACACCCTGTTCTCGTCCTCTCTTCTTCCTCTCCTACATATTTAATATGCATTCATCCGTTACCAGATCTGTTGTGTCATAAAACAGCAAATTACCTCATCTGTCTCCTCCCTCTTTCCTTCCATCTCTTCCCTCCTTCACTGCACCATCTCCCCCACTCCCATCTCTCTCTGCCTCTCCTTTTTGTCCAGCTCTACCTTTCACCTGCCGTCTTCTCTACACGCAGCATTTCCTTCTCTAGCTTACCACCCTTTTCCTCCCTTGACTCCACTGACCTGTTATCTCTCCCACATGCCGCCTCCTTTCCACAATCTCATCCTTCCCCTCCCTCGTTCCCGGGGCCCTCTGGCTCAGAGTTTTCGCTTGGTTTTGTGACCTTTAAAAACTGCTGATCAAATTCTGCTGCTCATCCCATTACAGACGACAGAGAGGACGGCAAAAGGGGGAGGGATGAAGAGAAAGAGATGAGGTCGGACAGGGTGAAATGGATAGTGAGAAGAAGCTGGTAGAGGAAAGCAGCGGGGATGGAGTGGAAAGAGAAACAGGCTTAGGAAGTGAGAAACCATCCAACAGACATGAGTCAGACAGGGAGCATTACGACTGTGTAGCAACATCCAAGCAAATCGGACAAACGTTGAGGTAAATATATGCCCTTATTTTCTCCTCTACAGCTTTCATTCCGAAACCATCATTTTTTTCTGTCTTTGTAATAATCGTAAACTTTATTCTCCTAATAAAACTCCGAAGCAATCGTGGTTTACTGTTAACTTAATTAAGGCCGCCTGCCTGCACAGTGTCCCACTGTGTACAGCAAAAGCAATCTCCTATCGATTT